AATAAATAGATAGCAATTAAATAACAAGTATTAATGACTTATTTATTAACATATTAATAGTTGGCCTGAGAGTAATAAATGCAAATTAGTGTAAAGTGGTACCAAAAATTGTGTCGATAATAGGCCCTGAAGTAATCTTGTGTGTTCAAGATAATTACAAATATATTTTCCTTTCAAAAGTCTACTGCCGGGTAATTTTTTATGGTTTGCTATAATATCATTTTAAAATTAGAAAATTAGCCCTAGTCTCATTAAAATAATTTTGCAGTGCATCAGGCTTTATTTCAAGTGCAAGTTTCACATTATCTTCCTGCCTACAGACCTTGCATTTTTTTTCAGAAACCCTCCTTATGTGCCACCATTTTGGGCCTATGCTTGGTATACTAACTGTGTTGGTTTAGCTTACTACTTGCACAACTTTTACTCATCGTTAGCATTATTATGTAAAAAGTACCTCTGCAAGTAGGGGTGGTACCTGGAGGGCTAAATCCAGTAAAAATCTATAAAGGCTAGATTTTTTCCTTTTTATTCCTGCTAATAGCAATTCACTACACAGAGAGTTCAGAGGTTTTAAACATGAGCAAGGTGATGCACTGGTCTCTGCACACTTAACAACCAATCCAGCCAGAGTAGATCCCCCTCAGAAGACCATTCCTGCTCAGCTGTTTTACTAGAAATTTTTTTTTTTTTAAACACTCTTATTTGTTTAGACAAAAAGAAAATCCCACTTCATGCCTTGTCTCTGAACTGGTACTTAACTTTGGAAAACTGATTACTTAGTGAGGACAGGAAGACATTGTCATTTTATCATTCCTACAAAAAAGAAAAAGGCTCGCTAAAATGCAGATTCCTAACCTCGTCACTGATCTGCTATCAATGGCAAGTTGATGTATTCCTGTCTGCCACTGGTCCTGATTTTATCAATTCTACAATTTGGCACACATTTAACATGTGACCATCTCTAGTAGAAGATCAGTAAATATTCAGCTCTGCCTCCATAGGTTGAAGAATAGAGGTCCAGGCTCCCTCCTAGCAGAGGTGCACAGAACACTATTTCTGCAAATGTTTGTTTCCATAAACATTTCTGTCTGCCTTTGTAGGTGGCATTTTTACTTCTCTGCAGCTTTCCTCATTAAAGGCATTGTAAATGACTTCTTCGAAAAAAATCACGTCCATTTCTGTGTGGTACAGGGCTTTGGTGGCCCTCTCCCCACAGTGCCTTCCAAACCACTACGTAAATGTGATTGTGGCCATGTAATCTGTGTACCTGGAAATATAATTCGTTTTGTTGCTAATGAAGGTCCTACGGCACAAATTTATTAACAGTATACTTTTCCATGGGATAATAATTGGGTCGATAATATTAAACTCATAGGCTCATTATTTAATTGCAAGGGCAGATTATGAATACAGCTTCTAAAATGTATTTTAATGAAAAACACTACATCCTGACCTAATCATATCAACCTTATGCTATCTAATTAAGGATGCAAAAAATCATTAGAGTTGCAAAATATTAGTTCCAGCTCCATCAGGCTGTTAGCTGCCCCTTCATGAATATATATTTTTTTTTACTCTATGATAAATAGTTAATGAGGTAAAAATGACAAAATTTGCATGTAGGCAAATTAGTTTAATAGACTGATGTCTTCCTGGTCTACAGAAAGTGACCTTTTTCCTATCAAAAGAATGACTAAAAATACCTTGAAATGATGGCATGGATGTCATTCCACAAATGACAAATCACTTCTCTGAACAATATAAAAATTATAAAATGCAATAACCTTAAATTCTCATCATATTGTAAATGTGTCCTCTGCTGCTGCATTTATCAATTTAATAAAAGGAAATTAAGCATATTATAAAATACCCATTTATGGGGCAATTTTTAATCCAGGGAATAAAAATGGGAAGCATGTGGTTAATAGCAAGAAAATATTGCAAAAACGTAGACCTATTTTTTTCCAGAAGGTTTGACTGACTATTTACTTGAATGACCTCCATTTAAAATATATTCTTTATATGGAGTGATGTAAGATGTGGCAGTCTCATGCTTCCCTTTATAAAAATTATTCACAGTTAATTTCGTATCTTATTTAAAAATTAGCACATTAATAATGCACGCAATAAGGGCTAGTGATGTGTCTTCCATACTGATTACCTTGTACAATTAGACATACAAAAAGAGAGGGACAAGACAAATACCTTATGCAAATCTATGGCTGAAAAAAAGGGTCTTTCAGTATCTGCAATGCCTAGGAACATAAAAGACCTGTACATATAGTTCCCAGTCTTGCAGGGAGATGCTCCATATGGAGAACACATTTCTACAATGGAGAACGTCTTTATTACAAAACTAGATTTACTAAAGAGCTACCAAACTTCATTTGATGATTCTCTTTTCCATCAAAATAATATAAACAACAACAACAAAAAAAAAGAGCAGAAGGGGAAGATTTCAGGTTTCTGAAGAACATTGATTCTTTTTTCACAGTATTTGTGTTTCGTACAGATAATTCTGGAGTTTTGGACCACAGTCTCCTCTCGCAAATTTCCCCCATTTGTGAGGCAGATCCTGTGCCACTGAAGTAGATAGTAGAGATCCTGCTGATACAAGTGATGCAAATTTCTGCAGTCTTTCCCCATTGTTCATACTTTCTTTTATTATATAGACTGCACCAATATGTCCCATAGAGAACAGGAATGTTTAACGTTGCCCCAGCCTGGCATTTGGTTAGGACCAATATAAAAGAAAGGACAAGAAATCCATGCAGATGTAGACAGAATAGAATCAGAAACTTAGGGATTCAGTAAAGACAAAATTGTGCTTGACTTTGCTTTTTTGAATGAAATGTGCACTGCTGCCTACACAGCACTGGGATTCTTCCCTCAGCTCTGACTGCACCCTCCGTGCTGCTGGATTCAGCTGAGACTTGGTCCATTTTAAAGGATCTCAGACTAAGGTCAGGTAGACACATTTCAGTGTGGCATTTCATGCATGTCAGGCTGCATACTGGGAGCAAAACTAGGCACTTACATGCGTCTATAGCAGTGGGTCATGTTTTTCAGTGTTCTGGCCCTTGAAGTACGTGTTACTGTAGCAGTGGACAGTCCATATTTCCTTCATTCAGAAACACACTATTTGTATACAGAACAGAAATTTTTCTTTCCATTCTTTTATGTACGTCTTTATCCTCAACCTCTCCTTTCCACCTGCCCTTCTTTTTTTCTTTTTCCTTTTTTTTCTCTTATTCAGCCCTTTCAGCACTGCTGCAAGAAATTATGCACTGGTAATAATATTAGAAATTTATTCAGTACTCAAAACAGAAATACAGTTGTTTGCAGTTGCCTTATCTGCCCTTTTTTCCATATGGCATCAGTAGTTCAAATGCTTCTTGAACTCTGTCAGGCTTGGTGCTGTTACTTCTCTGGGAAGCCTGTTCCAGTGCCCAACCACCCTCTGGGTGATGAACCTTTTTCTAATATCTTACCTAAACCTCCTCCTGACATGTAAAATGAGGTCCACTATATATATTCTTTGTTTAACCTTGTAACAAAGGTAATCAAAACCAATCATCAGTGGTCATGCTTTGACTTACTGTAGAAAGATTTCAAGTGCAAAAAAAAAAAAAAGTGTTATTTTACTTACTGGGATAAATAAGTTCTATCTGCATAAAAAGTGGGAATGGTGGAGGCAGGTGGCTGTGGAAACACATTCACTCCTTCCAACTTTTTCCCTCCCCTCTGCTGAAACACCATGTTCTGCTCTGCACTTTTCCACAAAAATTAAGTTTACTGACTATCTGCTTTTTCATTCAGTTTTTCCTTTCAGGGTACAAACTGTCATCATGAAAAAAAGTGGAAAATAATTACAGCTGTGGCAGATGTTTATAATAGTGACAACTGAGGCTATATATTTATAAAATGCCGATCTTTCAGAGCTAGCTATAGAGACTTGAAAAACCTGCAGACCCTTATCTGAAGTCCTTGTCCCAGTGGGTTAGAAAAGAAAAACAAAACAACTCATATGTACTGAAGAGGACTAATTTCCTTCCTATATGGAATCTGTTCATTTTTACATTGAAGCAGGAGAGTTACCAAACAAAGCATTGTATTCAGAGGTATTCATAAATGTACAAATCAAATTACTGAGCACTTTAACAATTGACCAAAAGCTGGTTTATAAAATAGCCCCATGGGAATTAATAACACTGACGCAAAACTAGAAAGCAAGGAAGAAGTCCCTCACAGAAGGAAGACAGTGTGCCTCACAGACTGCTGACCACGTTATTTCTTCTATTTTCAATCCTCTGAAAGCAATTATGCTCAGAAGCCTCATCTGTGGATGGCACCACCACCACTGGACACTTTGTAAACACAAATTAATCTCCTATACATCACAGCCTTAGGTCTGTATTTGAGACTAGACACTAGTGGCTTAATGGAAAAGAAAGAGTTATTTTTGATAACCAAAGTAGTGCACCTTCCCCTGCACATTTCCAACTTACCCTACTCCTCTGGGCAATCCTGAAAGGAAAGGGCCAGAAAGCAGAGCATAGCTATCATCTCTGGCTGACCAAACTCACACCCCCTTCTCAGGGCAGCCCCACCTATGCCCTTTTAAAGAGTGAATTCTACTTGTTCATGGAATTCCTCAGTTTGCTGAGCTGGCAGAGAAATTATCTGGGATGATACTGACATTTAAACAAGTAGTAGGTCTCTATGACCCAGTCAAGAACTAGTAGATGGCACAGATCATTTTTAACACCAGTGATGCCTCTAAGCCTTTGGTCACTAAGCAGATTGTAACCCCTTATGATGTTCAGGCAATGCACATGCAACATCACAAAATTCTCCTGAACATGCTTCTTAACTTCTCCCTTCGATGAAGCATCCTAAGAATAATTTTCTAATATCTATGTCCTCTTTGGTAACACCCAGAAATACAAAGCATTAATTTGGATCACAGATTCCTTTTGCAGACTCTGTTCACCACTCACCATCCGTCTTTCACCGTTGACTCCTCTCCACTGCTCAGCCCTCTTCATAATGTAGCTCAGCTCCTGACTGGAAATCTCTAAGTCCAGTGGAATAAAGAACGTGCCTTCCTCACCATGAATACGTTGAAATACATCCAACAGCCAACCTTCGCTATGTAGCCTAAGGATAGAAAAGACACGGTGGGTTCATTTTTGAAAGGACTCTTCACACACACAAAAAAGAAGAAGGTATCCTACAAAAGTTATCCTTTTGTAGACTTCTAAATCTTGATTTCACCTTCATGACTATGCTCTTGACTCATGAGTAAGAAGCTTCTTTCCAACAAGTTCTCCGACATACAGCCCTCCCCAGCCCTCTGTAGGATTTACGGTACCCAAATCAAATCACATCAATGTAGCAGCAATTTATTTTAATTATTTAAAAATATTGACTTCCCAAAAAGATCCTGATCTAACTTTCCTTCAGAATGTCTAATGTCTGTCCTTAGCATTGGGTTGGGTAACTATTCCAGTACCATAGTTAGGCATAAATGGAAGTCTTCGTGTGCCAGGGTTCAGTAATGGGCAAACCACGTCATATGGAAAGGAACAACTCACCATTATTTTCAAACCCAAGCCTGGACTCTACACAATCTAAACTTTGCTTGAAGTTAGAAAAGTTCATTTCATTGAAAAGCCATTTCATGGCTTTGTTTTTCTATGACATTTCTGTGCTGTGGTAAGGAATTGACTAAGCACTACACAGTAAAACTTTCTACCACAAGAAAGGCTTGCTGTGTGGTATTTCCTAATGTAGGTGAAACCAAGAAATATTGTGAGGCTTTTGGAAAAGTCTGGTGTCACATTTTTAGCCTAAGATAAACTTAAAAACTTAAAAAAATTGCTGTTGGATTCAAATCAAACCTCTTCAATTCATCGTTTTTTCATTCTACTTTTATTCCAAAACAGGGGTTCAGAAAATAAAGATCAGGAAATATGGAATCTCAGTTTTGGATATTAGATGGAATCTTTCCTTTCATACCCTCTTGCAAACTAATATTTTACTACAATTCAGCCGTTGCTTGGTGCTAATTTCAACCTTTTTGTCCTCAGAGACTGGCTGGGTAATCATGTGAAGTGCATGGATTGCTGTTTGGGCTCTACAACCAACAAAATGCCTGGACTTCAGTGGGGCTGTACAGGTCCTTCATTTCTTGGTAGGTTGGAGACATAGCACAGGCATAACTCCTTTGACCTTCTGTACTCTCATCCTTCTCGCGTATAGCAGCACTTGTGCCAGTTCTTGTGACTGGTCCTTATCCTTGGGTCTTGTATTGGCCTGTATGTGCTGAACAATGGGTCCAGATGGGAGAGGCAGAGGGTTTTTCAAATAAATCAGAATGAACTTCACCTTTTCACCAGTTCTACATCACGCTTTACAGTGCTCACAGTAAGTGTAGAGAAACACACTCAATAAGTTGCTCAGTACACTTTTGCCCACAACTGAGATTTGGTGTGGAACAGAAATAAGGAGATGCACCAAGAGACATTTTTTCATCTTGATCTCATGAGGAGCTTTAGCACTCTCTTCAAAGGGGAATGTGTACCTTAGGGTCAAACTCTATATCCAAGAGTTTCTGTGAGAGAGTAGCTATTCTGATACCAAAATCTGGCAGCCTGGCTCAGCGTCAGATTAGGAATTTATATCTCATGCTTTGATGGAAAGGTGTTCTCTGTACTTTTTTCCCCACCTTTCTTTTATTTGAAACATTCTTTTTTGCAGCCCTAAATTTGCTGTAGCATCCAAGATGTCATTTTGGGATTCTCTTATAAAGGGGAGAGCAGGTGGAAGAAAACCTAATCAAGAGGTAGATAGTCCTGGGAATATAAACAAACTGGCTACAAGAAATAATAGAAAATGCTTTAAAGTGTGAAATGCAAATCAGTGCTAAGGCAAAGCAGGATACTAGAGTAACTTAAACCACGCTAAAGTAGAAATTATGTTTTATAAATAGCTAATATCCTTCACAGAGTAATTTAGCATATTCCACGGTGTCTTCAAAGAAAAGTTTTTCTCTTAATCTCTGGATCTACATCAGATGATCTTTTCATACAATAGATACATTTTTGCAAGAATTGACTAGTGATTTAGAATTATCTGGTACTTAGTTAAAAAACTAGCAGTCAAGCTGGTGGGCTTTCTGACCTTCTGCTCATGTTGAAGCAATATTATTCCGTGGTGTTCGTATTTGAAATTCCAGGTCAGCAAGTTAAATGACTTGTCGTTTATCTTGCTAAACAAGAGAAAGACCTTGCCATTTATTTAAGCTCACTTAATGTAACATTCTTATTTCAAATTCAGTAAAATTTAATGCAGTTAAATTACTGTCTATTTGCTGCCATAAACATTTTCTATATGAAGATTTTAAGCACATGGTTATAAACAATATAATTAACTTTGAATTAATTAAGAATCATGAAGGCTGTCTTCTAAATTATTTCCTTTTGTTCAAAGGACTCAGCCTGCTCCTGTTACCTGCTTTAATTTCTTTTCTTCATCATGAAAATAATAAAACACTTATTGTACCTTAACATGGGTTGTTATAAATATAAAATAGTTATTTCTATTGCTAATACAATAAAAAACCAAAACTCAAATTACATTTTATAGACATATGAGAATCGGTATAATACTCTACAAGTTCATTTATTTATCTCTCAGAAAGAACAGAAAACCTTGAAATGATTTGCTATCCAGAGTCAGTCAAAAAAACGGGCTTCTCAAAGAATTACACAAACCAAAAATTGAAGGGTAATTTTAGTGGTTTAAAATAATTTATTACATCTTCACTTGAGCCTTTCTCATCCTTTTTTGGAAAACCACTGTTAAAAAATACAAAACCAGTTTTGCTGTTAACACTGAAAAATGTAGATTTTTGAAGCTTTTCCCTGAATAATGTTTCAATACCAGGAAATTCAGACACTTGCAGCAGACACTTTTAGTTGAGAGGGGTCTGCATTTTCTCACAGTGCAGAAAACATTTCACCAACAAATTCCTGTCTGTTTCTAATGTCTGGAGGAATTAAATTGAAGGAATTGCAACCAATCCCACTTCATTTTTCCAAAAAGTAATTAGAATATCTCTCCATGCTAGATGTACTACAGACTCCCAAGACACCCAAGGGGAGCCAGACTTTTTGAGATATTTTGGTTTATAAAGATGCAAATAGATGTCTACTGCTGCTTATCCCCTGTCCATGATTTCATTAGTTTCCTGCTTGTTCATCAGTGCTGCCATGAAGCTTTTTAGCTGTGGCAGAAACAGACACGTCCCCTGCTTTCTTTGGTGGTCTTGTGGGTTCAGCGTTCTTACCTCTTTTTTTTTTACACACTGTCAAACACTTCAGTTTAATGCCAAACTGCTGAGTAATTCTAAAAAATGGCACCAACTCCTCCATTCAACAGCCAAAGTTGGATCCAGTCTCTGTGGATTGGGGTCTTAAGGCAGAAGATATCCCTCAATATTTATATTGGTTTACTTTACAAGCAAAAAGTAAGGTGGATGTCTGTTTAAAAACATGTTTTCTGAGCTGAGCAACATTACATTTGAATATATTTTAGACATAACATCTGAGAAACACTCACACAAAGGGATGCTACTGCCTTAGTTATAGCACTATTTTCTCTTGAAAACAAGTGCTATTATATCAATATTCAGGAAACAGTATTATGAATTACAGAGATATTTTCCTTAAAAATATTTTTAAAAGTTTTAATGCTATCATTGTTGGACTGACAGTGTGCTGCTCAAGAGTCCTAGCTATGTCCAAGATTCCCACTGTGTTGGGTTGTAGACACACAAGGAAGAGAAAGTTGATCCAATTGCAGAAGATCATAGTATAATTTTACTCTGTACAGACTCCAGTATTCAAAATGTCTCCTTTTGTTATCAAGCAAAGAACTTCAAAGACCTTATGCACTGTAACACATTTTGTTATTTTCCCTTTGCTTTTGTATTTTGCAATGAATCATTTTTGAAATGTGTTGTGCTAAGACAACTTTTTTTTCCCTTAGTAACATTATTCCCCCACCCCTTTATTGGAAAACATTATGGGAAAATTGATCCAGAAGGAAAGGTACTTTTGATGATCTTGCACCTGTTCCCTAGACAATGAAGATGTTGGTAATATTCTCATAAAAACCTGTCTTACAAATGTTTTAATTTAAATTAATTTTCCTGAGTAATAAGCGACAGCAGCTAAAACTTATGAAGCTATTCAAAACTATTAAGTCAATGATTAAGAAGGCATTAACATCCCAAAAACTAATTAACTAGACTACCAGTACATTGGAGTTGTGTACGGCTTCCAGGAATGCAGAAGCTTTGAAATACTTTACAGAAATTTAGATGGCCATTTATCTTTTCCTGACTGCTGCAGAATCTGCAGAATCTGTGAGAGGGTGACTGAGGGATGATTCTGTCATATGGAGGGCGTATGCTGGGCTTTTCTATTCTTACATCCGCCTGCAGCTTGCTTTTGCATATGGCTTTTTATTGGTGCTTGCCAACATTCATCACTGGATGAATAGAGGGCCAGTACAAAATTCATACTACATTAGAGATGAGCCACTCAGAAAAAAAAACCCAACATTTTTTCATTCAATATATTAGACATCCTATCTAATTAATTTTCAGCATCCCACACCTGTCCCTATTGACTGCAATTTGTGTCTACTAGGAAGGTGGCAAGAAAGGTAGTTGGTCAAATTTCATGATGAACTGAATATTGAAAATGGGCTGAATTCATGGAAAAATTATTTGGATTAAGTCAGTCACAATGACTCAGTCACATCAAGTGAAAAATACTGTATCATCAAAAGGCTGCAAGGCTCTGAGAGCCACTACAAACTCAGAGGTTTTTGCACTTCATATCATACATAGCTTTCTGAAATTTTTCCTATTTCTCACAAAACCCCTGCTTATAAGACACAACATCTTCTAAAATACGTATATAAAAGGTACACACACTTTGCAGCTTAAGCCCTTGACACAGACACCATTGCCTGAAGCCAGACAAGCAGAGGCTCCTAGACTCTATGAAAAACCATGATACCAGCTGTGCTCCTGGTGAGGAAGTAAATGGCTCCATCTCTGACTTGCAGTGCCCAGCAAATCCCAGTGCATTAAAAGTTAAGCAGAAGCTACCCCCTCCTTGATTATCTGCAATTCTGGGCTCTGGATGTGTGACACTGATAAGTCTTTTCTGATGTCACCTTATTTTATCTAACAGGAGAAGGGGCATGAGCCTAAGCTCCTAAGGGAATAATAAGATAAAGAGGCATACCTTAAAAAATACAGGTACAATACTGTCGACGAGATCATGAACAGGACTGTATAAAGCATCACAGTGATTAAAGCACCAGGAACCCCTGACTCCTCAGCTCTCAGAAAGACCCAGGAGAGTTTTGCAGCATCAGCAATTGGTTTGTCTACACTGTTCCCAAATCGCTGTCATGGAGAAAAAAATCAATGTAAGAAAATATCGAACCTGATTAGACCATAGAGGAAAAAGAACCTGAATTTATTTACAAGAAGAATTTAAGTGTAATTTGCAAGGAACACAGTCTGAAACTTAGGATTCTGCTATACAGAATTTGAAATTAACCATAAGATGTGAAATAAACTATTTTCTGGTGGATTTTAGTACAATTAAAATCTACCCTATAGAGGTGACTTATTGAACAAAACCCGTGTAACAGTGAAAATACTCAAAGTGAACTCTACTAATGTATGTCAGGAAAAGTAGAAAGGGAAGAAGGCTGAAATTTGCCTTATTTCTATGACCAAGTAGGCATAATATTGAATGATTTGTATTCTTCTCCAGAAATCTATTATTTTCCTTTTTCTCCCCCCCCCCCATATCTAGTTCTTAAGAACTAGCTTCTGTATTGACATATTGTTGCCCTCTGCTGGATCAATTTAGAAGAATTTAAATACATATCATGGATCTTCTACTGCTCAGAGCTAAAATAAATTTCTTGCTTCACTTTTTCCTTTTTAAAGGGACACAGTGACAGCTATACCCATATTAGATCATGTTGACACATTTTGCAAGGATGTGAAACTGAACCACCAAAACATCCAGTGTTCATCATTCAGAGAGAGAGTCTGTGACCTTTAGGCTTCAGGAAACCTGCACCTTTCTGAGCAACTTGGCCAAATTAATCCTTAGGAAATGTCAAAACTTTCTTCCCATTTTTGGCTACCTCCTATGCATGCAGTGACATGCACAGTAAAGGAACAACAACTACAAGTCCAATGACGAGCTTTAAAAGGACTGAGATTCTTGAGGACATTTCTGTTCTCTCTTCATCTTTTGCAACACTGCTAGGTTTCTATAATGGAAATTAAAGGTCCCAGGACACCAGTCATGACATATAAAGACTAGTCACTAATTCAGAACTGTCCAGATTGGTAACAAAAATATTAAAATACTCTGGTTCTGTTCTATCTCTCAGTTATATCTTCTATTCTGGGAGAAAAAAAAACAAACAAAGCCCAAACCCAAAAAACACAAGAAACTGTCTACCAAGAAAAATCCTCTGCACAGCAGTCACGTCCTGACATTCCTTCAGAGAAGCAAAAGTCTGAATGGCAAATAAGAATAAATTTCTTTCTTATCTAAGCAGTTTTATCTGGCAAGGCAAAGATGGTATGAGAGAACTACACTTTTCTATCCTTTTTTTCTAACAAAGATATTCTGTCAATCTGTATACCTTCTGTGATCCTCAAAGACATGATCCAAGAAAGGTGTCTTTAATTCAAATTACTTAAATAACATTTGTCAACGTCTCTCTCAAGTACTTATATCACTGAGGGATGGTCACGTGAGCCTTTTGCAATGTCTACTGGTTTTTATGATGACACGTATCCACGTGGCCAAAGAGATGTTACTGTCTGCTTTTTAGAAGCTATAGACAAATGAAGTGAGTGGGGTCCCAGGAAAGCTCTGGCAGAACTGGAACTTGAACTGCATAAGAGTTTTTTATCCCTGGAACATCCTTTTACAAGCTGACAATAAATCAAACCTGAAATCACACATTTGACACAGTATTTTGGACTATTACTTGACACCCATCCCCCCCACCAATGCAACTGCCCTCTAGCCTTTCATTGGCAATAAAAAAACATTACTTAGTAAACACAAAAACTTTTGTCTCCAGGGCTATCTGTCATCTTTCATAAGTATTAAGGTCATTTAGGATACTAAAATACATTCTAGCACTAAAATAACTCATATTACCATAACATAATATTTTAAAAAGGTTTGATCTAAAATAGATTGGCAAGTAAATCTGAAATAGCTGCTGAAAGAATGCCAGGAGAAAAAAAATTACAAATGCAATAATGAAAACACATGTAAGAGATATAGTTTCATTTTGGAAAGGATACACACAGTATATTGTGTAATATTTGGACAAATGAGTTCCTACCAAAGATAATCTTGGTGGTAAGACTGCCAAGTTTTCAGTATGAAGTACAGAGAGGTGTGTATTTTTTTTAACATTGTAATGAAAAAACAAGTTACTTTATTTGTATCTCGTGTTTCCTCCTGACCAAGTGCTATTTGAAATTGGTAATGATTCTGTTTGTGTAGAACTAAGCACAATTCCACTGAAGTCAATGGCAACAATTTTCTCAATCCAAGTGTGGGAAAGATAAGGCAGACCTCAGCCTTTCTTCCAGTTTTTATGAATACATCAGCATTAGAACGGAGAAAAAAGCCTTTTAAGCATTTAGATATTTCTAGCCCTGTTATTGCAGGAATACCTCTTTTTCTCTTAAGAAAAACGTATCTCAATCAGAGTAATTACAATTAAAATTCAATTCTGTGCATGTTTTATATCACAAAATTTAAAAATAAGTAAATAAATACAGGCTGTCCAAATGAAAACTAGAGTGTGTTGCCACATGCTCAAACTATTGCAGTTACCTCTCAAGTGAGCTCCAATTAAATTTATTGAAGAGCTGAATTTTAATTTTCAAAACCATTGCAATGTAAAGAGTAAAAAGCACCTGCAGAGCACAGGTTAGCAGATGAGGAACCAAGAGATTTGAGAAAACCTGATCCCCAGCAAGGCCTTTGGATTACTGCTTGATCTAGAGTGAGCAACAGAAACATAGATGACTTTGAAAGACCAACAAGGGCAGAAGACGAGCAATACCACACCCCCAGAAAAGTTCTCAGAATCCCACACCCATCAAAAGGACCCTGTATCACATACACAGTGAGACCCAAATTTGAACTGCATCTTCTGGGAGACTAGGTATTTACCTTGGACGTGATAAAAGCCACCAAAGTACTGTTGGGCTACACAGCACATACATAGATTTGAGAGCTTTGCTCTACTGATGTTATATATGACGAAGCTCTCTTCTTAAAGTTGTTTATCTTTCAATCTCACAAGTCTTTTTAGGAGTGCCAGAAAATTATATTAACTACATTGCATGTCAGAGAAGTGCGCGATAACCTCCATTTTTTTCATTTTGTCTGTTTCAGTGCTTAGAAAAATCTGAAGTGTTAATAATCAGGATTGCTCATTAACCCATCTCCATTAACATCTAAAATTGCAGCAATCCTTTTCAAAGCAGACGCAATCACTTCAGCAGTGGATTTACTTTCTTATCTCCGTATATGGCTTATACAGTGCACTTAGTTTTACGTAGAAACACAGTGACTCCATTAGATGGGAATGTTGTTAATAAAAAGGTAATGTATAACATTATTATTTAATTTCTTTTTAACTTTCATGTTCCATTGCCAGGGGTGGAATTTCATATCTTTCAGTGATTCATTGAATAAAACAAACTTCTACATCAAATTCTCATGTTCAAGTTATTTTAAGTGACTCACCCCCAGGAATGAATCCACTACTAACACTGCCAAGGGGTCTAGCACTGTCCATAATCCCATAGCTATGATAAACTTTGACAAGAAGGAAGGGAATGAGTCAAACAGCTGCTGACAGCCCCATCTGATCAGGACCATAAGAAGCAGCCCTGCATTCAAGGTTAGGGGTCCCACCACAACCATGACCAACTCTTCACTGGTGTGCAGCAATGAGTTCTGGTAACACAGTTCAACAGTGTGAGGAAAGAGCTGGAATCTGAAAAAAAGCAAAAGGAGAGTGTTTGTCTGTGCTCCTAAGCAGATCATTAAAAAAAAAGTAGAATGTTGCATGTTGCATTGTAAAGTTGCATGCTGCATTGTAAAGTTGCATCCCTATCTGCATCACAACCCTCTGACCAAAAACTGTATAAAGCTACTCAAAAAAAAAAAGAAACTTTCTCCTCCTGCCTCTGTATCCTTTGACCCCCTCTGACTCTCAGTTCACTAGGTGCACCTCCAGGCCCTTAGGACTGTGCAGGAAAGGCTATACAAAGATGCTACCTCCCAGAAGCACCATCATGAGCACAGGCCCCAGAAGCTTACCTGTATCTGCATACTGCAGCACCTTTGGGCATTGCATGAAGTAGAAAATCTGATATGGAAAACATAGCTTTTAGCATGCCTAAAGTGGTTGGAAATGTTCCTCTTGCCACCATGAGATCACGAGATTTGCAAAGCTCATACAATGAGAAATTTGCTGGCACTGTAAGAGACATGAACTGCATGGCCATGTGAGCTACATACAGGAGCTGTAATTTTAGGCAAAAATTTCAATCTAGTTGAAGTGGCTTAAATTCTGTTCCTAGCTAAACGTAAAGTGGTTTGATTCTCACTTTGGTTCTGACTTGTGAGTGTTACCACCATATTTGTTAGGAGCAGAGAGTGCTCAGCTCAGTCTTATGTTGTTCAGGCACACAGCTACAGACTGGGATGCTGATCCAGGGCATTTTGGCTTGAGAACATTATCCATTATCTAGCTGACTGCCTGGGACAGCTGTGACTAGTGGCTTTGAACATGACCACCACTCTCTCATGCATTGCTTCCTTCTGTTGAGTTTCCTTTGTTTTCACAGACTCTCGATGCTTGGCCTCCCAGAAGTTTTAACACCAGCTGGCTGAGCACACATGGGATGTGCAAGGACAGAAGTGAGAGATGGTTGGCTTTGCATTAAGATCTAGAAGACCACCTTAATAATACCCAGCACTGTCCAGAGTCCACTCAGTACAAATTTTACCAATAATCAATCCCACTATCACAGCAGATATAGGTTGGAAAGTTGTACGCTACTGGCTCCTACTGACTGATTCAGGTTTGCGCGATGCCTTAAAGTGAACAAATAAAAAAAAAGTTTCTATTGGAGAAATCGTCCCTTTCCTAAGCACGATTAAAGTTTCTTGTTCTGTAAACCCATTCTCTACCCCACAGCCATATGCAGAGAATCAGGTATATATCACTAGTGGACTTGTTTTCCACCTTTTTTTCATGTAAGTAGTGACAAGCAATGATTTTCCTGCAACTCTCTAGGGAGCTCTAATTCCTGAGCTAAAGTCTATGTATCATAGAGTTAAAATATGTCAACCCATTGTAGTACTCACAGTAAAACATATATCAAAGTTAAATTCTTAGAAGTATTTTACTCATAGATCACTTCAGTAATATGAAATATGGTTTGAATGCTTCTTCAGTTTTGTGCACTTCTTAGGCATTTTGAAATACTTTATCCAAAATGATAAATGATTCTTCTGGAAGATACATCACCTGCTAGGTATCTCAGAAAGAAGAGAGGTAGGCATTGACACAAGACACACAGATGGACACATTGTGTTCTGGGTTTAAAGTTTACATTACTAACACCTCTACCTGATATGTAAATGTGACCTCCTAGGGTCACATTTGCATATCAGATCATCTAGAATCTCGATGCAGTCCTTGATCTTAGTCTCTGCAGAGGCTCCTATCCGGGCTTTCATGTAGAGCCCTTAGCACAAGTCTTAGTCATTGATTCTCTTCATAGCTCAAAGGAACTGCTTTGAATCAAGTTATTTGGAGTAATATTCTGACTGAGAAAAGAGTTTAGCAGGACTTACTTTGTAACAGGTACTGAGATGGTCTGAAGGAAGAGCCATTGGCTCAAATAATGCAGGTAAAGTCTCACGAACCAAAGCAAAACTACTAGCAGTGCGAGCAGCCAGAAGTCCCTGGAGCGCCAGTGTGTGGGTCCCAGCTCTGAAAAGACTGTGTATGCCACAAAATGGAAATGCTCCACAACCTGCCGGTACAGTTTCACTTCAGCAGCAGAATGGCAGCTAGAAATATATGGAAACAACGGAAAGAGTCATTCGTAAAGACATTAAAGGAATACCGGTTGCTAAAACAATGTAGAGTCCTGTTATACAGGTAATTTGGTACAGATTCTAATCATAACTTTTGATTGAACAGTGCATCTGACAGTAAAAAAAATAAAAAAGAATGTTTTTCCATGGCAAGCCTAGGTGAGAGGTGGCTTCCTCACAGAAATCACGCTGCCACTTTCATAAAGAAGACAACAAATCACATTTAAAATTAAGTTTTTAAAAGACTCTTGCTTTCATTTTGATTTTAATTTTCTCACAAATTGCTCTCTGAGGAACACTTTTTCCCTTATTTCTCTTCAGAGGGAATGATAAAAGAACTTGTCATATTTGTACTGAAAAGTAATAATGTTATTGAAAACCCGTGAACAGTTCTTTGGCATTTGGTTAAGAACATTCGGTCAAATATCTCAGTACACAATGTGGGCTAAAACTCCTCTTTAGTTTCAAATGAAAGAGAAAATAAAAAGGAACTTGCACTGTAAAAGGATTCTTCTACTGAGTGTGGTGTGATTTGCCCTTTAAACTAATTACTGTAGTGCTTCAAAGGGGGTGGAGGGAGGAAAAGAGATGCAGACATGCAGCCTTGGCCTTATATTTCCAAGAAACTGGAGTCTCTCAGCTGATTCGAAGCTGAAAAGACAGTAGCTCCTTTGACCTTTGAAAACTTCTAACTGCTATGCTTATTTCCACCAATTTAAACGACTAAGCAGCTGAGATGCACAACTCTAGGACTGAATATGATGTCATCATGCTCGGACTGTTATTTATGTTGATTAAGCCTTCTGAAAGTTCAGAAATATAAAGATCTTTTTGTGGAAGAAAACATACTGGCTTTTTAAAGTGTAGCATATGACTGGAGAAGAAGCAACAGACATACTTGCGCTGTATTTTATACACTTTTAAAGCACTTTCATGTCTACACATATTTCTTAAATAGCTTTATACATTTCTTTCTTCAGCAGTCACAAAGAGAACTGTGAATAACAAGAGAGAAACTTAAAAGGTTTCTGCATTTGTTCTAGGTTTGAATGAGAAGGAGAAATAAAAACACCACACTTGCCAGCCATAGGTCTGGATTTTGAGACCAGCCTTGGCATCATATTACTCCTGATCCTCAGTGTTGAGCAGGATTTATGCGTTGGAGAGAGCATGCTGTCAGTCAGTTCTTTTTCTCATGAGAAGGCTCAGGCTTTAGTTACCTGCTTGGTTGAAGAAGAGGATGAGTAGTTGTCAGAAACACACCACAAAAAACCCACCAGGTTTTGGGTGACTAAAAGGCTTCAAGTACAAATCACTAGAACTTCTTGCAGAAATGTCTATTGGGCTGAGACAGCTAATCCTTGCAGTGACTGTAGCTTGATCTGTCAGGGGTTTTGAAGGTTTTTTGAGACATTGCAGTCCATTTTTCTCATATCCCAATCAGTCATAAAGTCCTACTTTAGAGACTCAGGACTACATCATGAATCACCTTCCTCATACTGTCATTATTTTCTCACAGCAGCCTACAGGAACATCACAACACATTTCATTAACATTATGAATTCATAGCCTAGGCTTGTGTGAGAAAGAGACAAAGAAAAATGTAAAATAAGAAATATAATTGACTATGGTATTATACTACAATAACCATGGAATTCTGAATGTTCTGAACTCTGCAGCCAGATTGCCCTACACTTCCTTTCATATAAAGATATTTTTGTCATCTTTAATAGCTTCCATCAAAATTTACTGTTGAGGCATTCACTCCTTGAGAATAGTTAAGAAGGTAGGATTAGCCACACTGGTATTTTAGTTAGACCAAATAGTTTGTTGTTTGTGCAAAAAAGAAGAAAGAATAATACTATCTTAGCTCATAATACTCTACTCATCCTTCATCAAACAAGCAGAATTGCATAGATGTCCCACCCAGCCTCACCCATTTCTGAAATCCACATCCTACAGGGATCATTGCCAATCTTCACCTCTGTGCCGAGAACACAAGTAATCATGTATTTTTCACAAAAATCTGGATTTAGATCAACACCTCATTTCATGCTGGAATCATTTACTACTAGATGATCTAGGCTCAATTTACTAAATGAAGCTGCCTCCGCATAAGCATCACCAGAGTGAAATGTTCAGTGTGACACCTATAAAAGGTTTCAAGACATAAATCCTTCCTTCCAACCCAGCACAGAGATGGAGAAGGAGCATACATAGCTCAAAGCACTGAAAATACCGAGTCCTCTTTCATTCACAGCAGTCCTGGAGCACCAGAAGTACTGAAAAACCTTAGTAACCAAAATATGGGGTTTGGAAGGTGAGTTTACTTCTTCCTCACTGAGGCAGGACCTGTTGATGCAATCAGCACTTTCACAAGAGCACACTTATTCCAGCTCTGTCTCTCATTGTGTGGAAGCTGCTTGTGCAAGCACTGTGAGTAAAGTGTCGTCACAGAACTTCCCTAAGGTTTAGGCAGCAATGAAAATATTCAACCTGTGCTTTCATCACTTCATTGCTTCCCAGATTACTTCCACTTTCAGGAGGTTAAAAGAGAGCTAATGTTTCCCCCTGTGAGCTATGTCGTCCCTGCTGAGATGCTGGCTCTCTCAGCCACGAGAATACACTTACTCAATAAACTTCTAAATGAAAGTAGAGAAATTCAAAATATGTTCACTTATCAAACCCAAAAGCCTTCCATGCAATGACCCTGCTTAAACCAGCGGAGCAACATCTGTGATGCCTTAGCTGCATCTTTCCTCTGAAAAAAAAATAGCAGCCCAGAAATTCAACAGAAAGCCAAGCTTGATGGAAGTAAAAGATATCAAGAAAAATATGTCCATTGGTAGAATCAAACATTAGTTTTTATTTTTAGAACAGCAATTTTTTTAAGACTTTATGGTTTTCATCAAACACCTTGATCATAATTTCCTGCTTTTAAATGGAAATCAAAATCCTCTTTACTGTTTAATTTGTCAGAAGTCCAGATTCTGAGCGTCACTTCTGTGATTGTGTAACACTTTGACATGAGTACCACCAGCCAGTGGTAAAAATTGGTGGAAAATGTAGCATATGCTACATGGGAAGGACTCAGGGAAGGTCTCAACCTATAAGTGGAATATCTTCATTTACTTTAACACAAATTCTGTTGACTCCAACTCACTTGTAAGCTTCAGCAAACTATTTCTGAGTACTCATTAATCATGTTATAGGGCTGTTTACTGGCTGCCACTTCAAAACACTGGGCTTAAATGATCTCTCTCACTGACTGTTTTGAAAAATGAAGAAAGAAAGAGGCAGAAACATGAAATGAAATGCACCAAACAAGTGGAAACAGCCCCTTTAAATACTTTTAGCTGGTGTTAGTAGTGAAAGCTTGAGGGTGGAGTGATGGTGCTGGCAGATACAGATTTCAGAAGGGATATAAAGGTGCTGTAGGATAGAGAGCATCAATATTACCTTTCTAAAACCAAACAACCCCTCCATCCACAAAAAAACCCAACCCAACCCAACCCAAACCAAAAAAAAAAAAAAAAAACACACCACCACCAAAACCAAAAAACCCCAACAAATCTCAGCCCTTGGGTGAAAACTGTATAAAATTCCAAATGAGAAGTCACTTGAGTATTGGATTTATCCATGATTCCTTGGATTACTGGTAAGTAATTTGGCTGAATTTTTCTGTTCTAGGGCATTAGTTTTGCATTTTTCTTTGAGAAATGGTGCAATAACAAATAGCAGAGACCAAATTACCATAAAAGCATGTCAATTATTTCAACGGAAATTGTTCAGAAGGAAAGAAACGATGCACAGATTCTCCTAAGCTGCAGTTGATGATGATGGTGACAGAAAAGTAATGGCTGATAGAAGGTAGTGTGTACTGTTGGGTGACACTTTGCTGCTAACAAACCATGGTGAACATTTGTATAATGTACTGCAAGACTGGCATTTAGAACTGGGGGGGGGGGGGGTAGATCATCAGCCTAAGCAACCCTGCTTCCTCTCAAAGTACATTGGTGTCTACCAGCTGAGGTATTCAGGACCTAGTCCTGAATGTATCTATTATTTACATTTCATAAAATATGGCAAAATAAATGTTTCTTTGTCACCCATAGAGACAGAGAAGAATTAAAGAGCAAATGCAGACACAAATTACTACTTTATGCAAATTAATTTCAGGGAATCCCATGCAGTCTTTACAGCCCAAGAGTCTGTGCAACGTATTTACTCAGTTCACAAATAAAAAAAACCCCTCCCCACCATCGCCCTAAATGGTGGGTATTTAAACTTAGTGGTAAGTTCTTTATGGCTTATCAACAGAAATAAAGATGCAGGAAATATTGCCCAGTGTTACTACAGTGAAATGCTATCACTTTCAGTGGAAAATCACACCTCTATCTGAAGGCACATCTAAAATTAATATATGTAGCCCTTCAAATGGAAACCAGTTAGAAGCACCACTGATGAAGCATAAGGCAGAAGAGAATATGGTTCATTCCATTGTGCACAACATAAACATATACATAAAACATAAAATTTTATTATCATTAGAGGGATATTATTCTTATTCCTTCTGCATAATATTTTTCCTTTTCAAAGCTTGTATTGTGTTACCAGGAAATTGCCATTATTCCAGGCTGTATGGTGATGATACAAATGACTTGCCCAATAAGCCAACGGCAGAGCTGTGAACCGAACTCTGCTGAGTTACAGTCCATTATTCTATCCACTGGATTCCTAATAAAATATTACATTTTTGTTTATTTGTATGCAAAGTGAATATAAGCAGGGAGAACATTTGCCGACAATATAGAAGCTGTTTTTTCTCATCTCTTTCCAGGACACACCTATGCTTCATATTCTTCAGTTTGCAGGCACCATGAAAGCTGGTATCACAAAGAGTTACAAAGGTTATCTAGAGGATTTCTTCTGCAAGAGAGGTGACAAAAGACCTGAGGGGACATTAAGTGGTT